TCCTATCAACGATGAAAGGGCGTTGTTTCTTTCTTTCTTTTCTTTTCTTTTCTTATCACCCCCCACCCACCCAGCAAGTGGGTGGGAGGGACCATGGGGCCACAGCAGGGCAGGTTGCCTGCAGGCTAACCAGGTTCCCACCCATTCTAAAGAGAAAAACCTTTATTCCCTGGGCAGCTCCCAGGAATGCCTCTGTGACAGCAGACAGAGAGCTCTCTGAAGGTGGGGCTGGTCGAAGGGCAATAACTCCTGGGAGGGCTTTATTTCTTGTGATAAATTTTTAGTAAGTAATAATTAATTTAATGATGAAATGTCATCATTTTGACTTCTAAAAAGTATACAATTTTCCTCAGTTTGCCTTTCTGTCTTAGTCGTAATTATCCATGATATATCTTAACAAAGGACACCAAAAACTGGTCCTAGGCAGGGTAAAGAGAAATGTTTCTTATTCTCTTTATTAAAAACATAAGGGAAGAATTCCATCCTTTTTTGTTGTTGCTGTTGTTTTTATTGAGCTATATATTTTTCTCCACAGGATTCCGTCTTCTTAATATAGTTTGGGGGCCAGAACTGTTGAGAGTGACTTGTAAACTCCTTATTGTTGTAATTTTAAAAAACTCCATGAAGAGAAGTCATGCCATGCGACAAGGGTTACGTAGGAGGTTTATTGGAAGAGGAGAGAGAAGGGGGCAGAGACCAGTCCCTGGTGACAAGAGTGGTAGAAGAGAAAGAGATAGGAAGAGAGAGAGAGAGAGAGAGAGAGAGAGAGAGAGAGAGAGAGAGGCAGAGACAGAGAGAAGAGGTGGTCAAGGCCCACCTTTTAAAAGGGAACATAGCGAATGTGCACAGGGTGTGCTCTTAGTGGTTGCAGGCAGAGAAGATATCCTGTCAGGACCCTAAGGGCAGGCCAGTACAGATGCCTAAATACTAACACTTGTGAGATTCAATTCTGCACAATTTCATTTTTAAAATGTTATTATTATTATTATTATTTGCCATGGATGATAATAGAAGCAAATTACAAAGACTACAATATATTTTGACTGAATGTGGATGAGAGCGAGGCAGACCTGGCTGAGAGGCCCAACTTAGTAACCATTAAATCTGGAGTTTTACTGCCGTTTGAGAAGCCATTGTTATTGGTGGATAGTTTGTTCTTTCTTGTATGGCTGAGGCGACGATGTGGGTGAGAAAGGAAACATGACAAGGGGAGAGAGAGAGAGAGAAGTAGCATAGTCAGGTGTGAAAGACTTTCTTCTTAATTCAGCTCAAAATACACAGGTGAACATTCCCGAGAAAAGGCTCAGGGAGACCTTATGTCTTACGACTGCCTTGTAGGTAATGGAGAGGCAGGGTTAAGATGGGAGGCTGACCTAGGATGATGGAGTGGTCCAGAGAGAGGTAGGGATGGTTGGGCCAGTTTTATAGATAATAGGGATGGGCAGAAAGGGACAAATTCTTGACTCTGTCTAGAACAGAATCCATGAGGTCTAAGGATCTGTTGAAAGTATCAAGAATGAACAAATTGTATATTGGACTTGTGTTCAGCAGCTTTCCATCATTTTAGCAGAACCGGAGGACAGCCACGCAGAGGAGAAAAGGTCCCCTAGGCTCATGGTTTCTGAGGTGTCAGCGTGGTCACTTGGCTGTTTTGCTTTGGTTCTAAGATGGTGTAGGCCATGGCAGGAATCATGGCAGAGGTCTGTTCACTGCAAAGTGACTCAGAAGTAAATAGAGAAGAAAAGATAGAGATTTCAGTAGTATTTTGAAAGTATGTGCTCAGTAATCTAATCATCTACCACCCAGGAAGCCTCACTTCTTCAGGATTCCATCTTTCAGGAGTATTGCTTGGGAAGGGCTTTGGGGGGACAATTGTCTCAGAGACTAACTGCTGCTGTGTGGGTCTCCTGGTGGACATTGTAGGTTAATAGGAAGCATCCAGGGCATGGTAATTTTATCTAGAAAATAATAAGCCTCAGTAATTCTCTCATGATCCCTTTTAGTCTCTGACTGAATACAAACCTCTTTACCTCACAGGGCTGGCCATCTGAAGATACCAAGAAGATTCATCCTTTATATAAGCTTTGGACATGTAATTGAAATCTAAATCCTTTATGTGGCTTTTTAGAGTATAGTATTAATTTTTAACTATTAAAACTGGTATTAAAATTTCTTGATTGTTTTTGTTCAAATGTGTTCATAAAAAGCATTTAGAAATTTAAATTAGATTTGTTTATTTTAGTTTACATGGTGGGTGTTTTGTGTGTATGTATGGGCACATGCCTGGTACCCATGGATGTCAAAGGAGGGCATCTGATACCCTGGAACTGGAGTTACAGATGGTTGTAAACTTCTCTGTGGATGCTGGGAACCAAACTCAGGTCTTCAGTGAGACAGTCCAGTGCTCTAAACTGCTGGACCCTCTCTCCAGCCTTGCAAAAACCGCTTGTATCCTAAATACTTATCTTTACATCCACAGATACGTATAGCTCTCATTCCTCACCAAAGAGCAACCTTTTTTCCCTTAAGTAGATGGAGGTTTCTACAGGGATTTACAAGTGGTTAAAATGCAGGGAATAAATGACCACTGGGAGCCCTGCTAAGGTCGATAAATCTAGACCAGCTATGATACTTTTCAGTTTACTAGTGTGTAAGCGGTTGTATGGCTCATATGTAGTCTTTCCTTGAGGCTTCAGGCTCTAAGTCTACCTTGAAATAAAAAGCAGGTGTTGACACATCTGGTATTTATAGAATTCGGAGTCTTGACAGGAGATCGAGAGCCAGGAGATCGAGAGCCAGGAGATCGAGAGCCAGGAGATCGAGAGCCAGGAGATCGAGAGCCAGGAGATCGAGAGCCAGAGCTGGGGATACAGCTGTCTCTTGGAGTGCTTATCTAAAATGCACGAAGGTCCTAGACTCATTCTCTTATACAGTATAGGAAACAAAAGGAAACCAGCCTACTGTGGTGTGGTAGGAGGCCGCTTGTTTGTTCCCAGCTGTTAAGTCCCAAAAATAACCACACAGAAACTCTATTAATTAAATCACTACTTGGCCTATTAGCTTTAGCTTCTATTAGCTCTTACATCTTAATTTAACCCATTTCTATTAATCTGTGTATTGCCACATAGCTGTGGTTTACCCGCAAGGTTCCATCCTGCATCTGTCTCTGACAGGGCTACATGGCTTCTCCTGATTCCGCCTTCTTTCTCCCAGCATTCAGTTTAGTTTTCTCCACCTACCTCTGTTCTGTCCTGCAATAGGCTCAAAGCAGTTTCTTTATTCATTAATCAATTAAAGCAACACATATACAGAAGAATTTCCTACATCAGTGTGGGGACTGTGTGAGACTGGATTGCGTTTTATACATCAAGAAACTGAAAACCATAATCTACAATGATTAGTTTTATAGAAAAAAAAGATATGTTTTTAAAATCTGCTAGTTTTGCCTGCAGACTAATTTTCTTTCTATTTTTTTTTTTTTACTTTGAGAAGTAATTACTGTGACCTAAGAAACAAAGTATGACTTGAAGACGTAGTATGATTTTAATCTATTAGTCTACTGTTCAGGCACTTACTCTTTGGTAATTTAAAAAACCTTTCTAGGCTTTTTGTGATTTCAGAGAAAATGTTTTTGATAACATCTCTGTTTCTGACTGACCACACATACTTCCCAGAAGTGGTGAGCCTGAGATGTGTTCACTGGCTCGTACACACATCACTAATGAATTCACCACGGCCCACGAGTAGCTCATGTCAGCAGATGTGAATGGTTGCCTGGTACAACGGCGGCGCAGCTTCCTGAGGGCTTAATCTCTCTTATCATTTATTATCTCATATGGGCTAATGTAAGCAAGTTAAGCATTCATCCAGGGTCCTAAACAGGAGAAAGCAGGAACAGAAACACCAGGTTTCTTTCTCAGAAGCTAGTTTGGGGGCTTGGGGATGCCAGTCTGGAAAGCAAGCCTCCGAGCAGAACTTTGAGTTATTGGCGCCTGGCTTCCTCACTACATCACGATTCCTCCCCACACAAACTGCGATCCGAGGATGTGGTGAGTTTGCTGTTCTGAACACAGCCTGTGTCAGTTCTCCTCATTGATTCTTTTAATGGTGTTTATCGCTAGTAACAAGCACTCCCTTCCTGGAATCTCCCATCTGCGTCTGTCCTGTGAATCTTAACATTTGCGGGTCTTAGAATCCCCATGAGACCTTGCAGGCCCTACTCAGGGAAGAAGGTGTTCTAGCCGTGGGCTCGTCACAGTGTTAAGAGAACTCTTAACCCCCAGCGAGTTTGCTTTCCACCAGGCTTGTTGATCATCAGCCTTCCTCACTAGACTGTGAGATATTAAAATGTGTCATGTGCTCTGGGCCACCGGTCCACACTCACACCTACGCTTGCGCTTGTCTCTGGGCTGTGGTGGCCTTTGAATTCAAAGAGCTCATGGAAAGACTGCCGCTCGCTCGCTGCTTTATAGCCTCCCTCCCCACCTCACAGACCCTCGCTAGTTTCCTCCTTTCCCCATCCCTTCTTCCTACTCCTGCTCTCGCCCTCTCTTAGTTGGCTGTAACTTTGGCTGCTCGCCATATACTCACTGGGGCATTGAAGACCAGACTCAGACTTTAAAAGCAGGTGCCTAGGAATGAGCGGATGTCTTAAGCATGGCTAAGCATGTGACATGCGCTGTGTTGTAAAGGAAACGTGACTGACTCTGTGTTTCCTTTTAGAAACCAGTGCTTCCTTATAAATGCCAGAATCAAAAGTCAGGAAGGAGAATTTTATTTTTGTAAGAACTTTTAGAAAATTATTAATTATGAAACTAGATTGCTCAAATATACAAAGGCATCAGTTATCATTTGCCTGTCTAAAAGAAGGTTTGATAGATCTGTCTCAGCCATGGATGGGACAGTCTTTGCTCAGAGTCACTTTCCGGAGAACCTGGTTCATACTCTGCTGTTCAGAACAGAAGTAAAACTGCCATGAGGTGGATTGAGGGTCCGTGGCTCGCCTTTCTTTTTTTCTTTTTTTTTCTTTCTTCTCTTTTTGGGGGGGAGGGGTGTTAACCACATGGCCTTTCTAAGCGACCTTTGCAGTTTCTGCAGCTACTATTCTGGGGATTAAAGTCAATAGTTTGTGGGTTGGACAGTTTGGCTTGGTAACCCCCTAAGCACATTCTAGAAGAAAAAAAAGTGACCTGACAAAAGGTCTTTGAGAGGTGAACCGCTGAAATCCAGGAACACAGGAAGTTTGGAGTTTTCCAATTCCTCATTTGTGGTTCTTCTGAGCAGGCCATGGCGTTCAACTACAACACAGCTTCCCGAAACTCAGCAGAGCCTCGGTGCCTTCTCAGAGGATGTAAGGTGGACAGCTCAAGTTTGCTGTGTCTTCTGTCAAATTCTCTATTCCTTTACTCTTTCTTTTTCTGTGTGCATGTGAGCTTGCATGTGTGTGCCTGCACATGAATGTGTGTGTGTTCACGCACGTGTGCCCAAGCGTGTGAACGAATGTGCAGACACAAACATGGAGACCAGAGGTCAAACTTGGTTGTCTTCTCTATTGCCGTCTACGTTATTATTTGCTTCAGGGTCTCTCATTGACTTCAGAGTTATTGGTTCTTCAATCTCAGCTGTTGAGCAAGGCCCTGGGATCCTCCGGTTTCTGCTTCTACAGCGCTGAGATGGTCAGCCCGGGCCTCTGTGGCTACGAGCTCTTTCTACAGATGCCAGGGATCTGAACTTGAGTCCTCATGCTTGCCTTACTGAAGGCATTTCTCCAGCCTTCCCCCCCCCACAACCAATCAAACAAGAAAGGAAGTAAGAAAGGTAGAAGGGAGGGGTAAACCAAACCTGCTCAATATTCAAGAAAAATCTTCACATTTTTTAAAGAATCAATACTGTTTTTTTTAAGATACAATTTAGTTTATCTAGTAATAATCTAAAAACAGTGATGATTATTCCTTTTTGGTCTCAAACACCAATCGTGCCATTTTATGGAATTTACTTTCCTTCAGTAATCACTGTAATTTCTTTATATCTAAAATAGAACACAGAAGTGCAAAGACGATGGCATCTCAAGAGCTAAACTGACATATGACTGATCCTAATTGCAAGGACGGCAAAGAGATACTATGTCTTTTCAATTTAGCAAGAAAAAGAAGGAGATTCAGAAGGACAACCAGGTAAGACAACTAGGTGGAAGATGTGGCTTGGGCTCAGGTGAGGGGCAGCTTATGCGTGGACAGGGAAGAAGGGCAAATAGCACTCCCTGGGGCTGAGCGCTAATGGGAATTAGGAGAGAGGATTAAAGAGACCTAACCGGCCAGTGAAAGAGCATTGAAGTTTTTCCTGCAATGGAGTCTGCTTTGGGTATTTGTGAGAAGTAAGACAAGATGCAGTGAGTGCTTGAACATGAATAGCGTGGCTTTCCTAAAGGAGGCTCGGGTACCACCATCGCGTTCCCACCATGCAGTGCATGAACTGAATGAAAAGAATGGCTATGGGAGGGATCACAGCATGCATGGTCAGTACTTGCCAGCTGACAGAGAATCAAGAACAGGGAGCAATGGCGATGGTTTTGAAGTTCTGAGCTCAGGTGCCTGGAAAGCAGAGGTCAGACCTCAAGAGAGGAACTCATTTTAAGATGCAGTGGATCAACTCAAGTCTAAGTGTCAAGTCAGAGGTAGAGGCAGCAGCAAGGAAATCACAGCCTGGCGGGGTGACAGGTGCAGACTCCCTGGCTTTAGAGAGAGGATTAGCGCCCCCTCTGGTGCTATTCCCAAGTACTCACTCAGCACAGAGAGCTCAACTGTCCTCCTTAGAGGAGGGATAGCTGACCTCAGAGAAGTGAAGGCTGAAAATTTCATCACAGACCCCCAAACAAGCGTAGAAGGTTCCAAGACAAGCAGCGTAGAGCATCCAGATGGGGAAGATGAGAATCCAGGCTGTGTCTTGGTGGAGGCAATCCCACAACCACACCAGAAGGAAGGTGCATTTTCCTCATTTTTATTTATCCTTTTGATCATCATTGACCCTCTTTCAAAACGGGCTAATCTTACTTTGCAATAATCCTATACTTAACAGAACGTCTGCCTCTGCCTCACACATCACAGATCACAGATGCGTGTGTCCAGATCAGATGTAACAAAAGCAGGGCTTTTAAAAAGACTTTTGTGTTTAATAGTTAAAGAGGAGCTTCTGAAAATACGATAGCCAAAGTGCATTAATACATGAATACTTTATAAAGATAGCAAGTAGTCACTCGTGAACAACCCCACCGAGAAAGTCTTCGTCGCTCACAGGAACTCTGACGTCTACACTGTGGGAAGGCACACACTAGCTGTGTACACTTGCCGTGATATCTTGCAGTAATCACCGAAGCCTAGGCTTTGGTCATCTTGCTAAGTCAGAGTACATTCTGGGGATACGGATAACCAAAGTGGACTTGAAAGGACTTAGGCAAGGACCAGAAGAACTGTGTGGAGGGCGGAGGGAGGGTCTATGGGGTCCAAGGGTGGCCATGGTGATCAAAATGTCTAGGGCAAACAGACACTGTGAGTCACCGAACAGTGAGTGGGTCCACAGGCTGAATTCCCCCAGATTTAACTTTTTTGTTGGTTACTGAATCTGAACACAGATTTCCCGCTCTTTCCCACAGTCTTCATCTGTAACCGAGGAGAAAGGATGTCTGTGGTCAGAAAACTACTCTTTGTACTCAGCACCTCCTAGGCTCAGTTGCAATAATCCACATTGCAAGTTGTCATTAATGTTCCGTAAGATAATACATGAAGACTGCTACACGTAGGGCTTGTGTTTCGGCAAGCGCTCGGTAAAGCATAGTCACACGCTCTGTGCTGTTATTCTTGCCTTTGCCGTTTGCTGGCTGTAGAACCTCACGGTAATGACTCCCTGTACGTGTTTATTAAACGCCAAAGCATTATCGTGAAATAATGGGACAGGGCAGTTAAAATGTATGCAGAGATTTACTAAGCAAATATCAGAGGCAGTGGACCAGGAAATACAGGTCAGACTTTGTGTGTCTAGGCCCTGCTCACTGAGTACACAGCCACATAGCGGTACGAGGTGGGTGTTGTTATACACCTAAGGTGACACCTAAGGGCTGCTCTGAGGGCTGGTCTTGATGGGAGTGAGACAGTAAGGGCCTGTGGTGTGTGTGCATTCTCAGGATGGCCGCTCTTATCCGGGAACAAGGGGCTTGTGGGCAAGTTCTTTGGCAAAGGTGGGAGGAGGCAACCTTCCATGCCTCAGTCCCTGGGTAGAGGGCAACAGGTTCTGTAGACTCTGAAGCAAGCTTTCTCAGGGTCGTGGGAGAGCAAGACAAATTTAGAAAGCAGCCATGCTCTGCAAGGGTCTTTGGATACATTTTCAGTAGAAAGGGACATGGGGGCTGCTTTGGGAACCCCCTCTGTACTGTTTACCTGCTCAGAGCCTTGTGTAGTCTTACCGAGTCCTTCATGAGACCAACTCTCCACACCTGGATTTTCTACTCTAGCCACACCGAGGTCTTTCCAGTTCCCTAACAGTTGTTCTTTCTGTTTTCCTCTCTCTGCCTCCAACATTCCCATCATGCTCTCCTGTCTCCTACAGGCCCACGAGCCAGGCCAGGTGCTAGCATGGGCAGCATTCCCTCCACTGACTGACCAGTAGTGACACCTGCTGTCTCAGGGCTCCTGGATACTATGGCGCTCTGGACTCTAATATACATCAGCACTCCTGACCTCCCGCTCCCGAGCAAGGTCACTGAGGGTGGAAACCACGCTTGTTTTCAGGGTCCCTAACACATAGCATAGTGCTAGTTGCACAGAAAGCACTTAGTAATCAAGAGGCCAGGGCGGGAGGTACACACTGCATAGGGAGACTGTCTGGTACACGAAAAGAGGAGAAAGTAAGGAGGTGCTTAGTAGGCGTTCAAGGAACAATTTTGAAAAAAAAAATCGCCATTACTTCACTCCATTAAAAACTCCACCAACAGTCTTTCCCTTCTCTCCACCCCTCTCGCCTTCCCCAACCCTACCCCCATCCCTACCCCACCCCCATGATCTCAACTTTTGCCCAGCAATCTTGTGGAGATGGAGGAAAGGCAGATACAGGAGCAGGGAAGAAGATATCTACATTAAGGGAGCCATTTTAGGGTTGGCAAGAGACTTGGCTCTAGAGTGGATCCCATGTGTCCATGGATGTCCCCAGCTAGGTCCTTGGACAGCAGAGGAGAGGGTGCCTGAACTGGCCTTGCCCCACTATCACACTGATGATTATCTCGAATATCACCATAGAATCTTCATCCGGCGACGGATGGAGATAGAGACAGAGACCCTCATCAGAGCAATGGACTGAGTGCCCAAGGTCCAGTTGAAGAGCAGAAGGAGGGAGAAGATGAGCAAGGAAGTCAGGACCGCGAGGGGTTGGTCCACCCACTCAGACAGTGTGCCTGATATAATGGGAGCTCACCAAAGCCAGATGGACTGGGACTGAACGAGCATGTCATCAAACCGGACTCTCTGATTGTGACTGACAGTGGGGGCTGACTGGGACTTGTTTCTACTGCATTTACTGGCTTTTTGGGAACCTAGTCTATTTGGATGCACAGCTTCCTAGGCCTGGATGGAGTGGGGAGGGCCTTGGACTTCCCACAGGGCAGGGTTCCCTGCCCTCTCTTAAGGAGAGGGAGGGAGGAGGGTGAGTGGGGGAGGGAGAAGGGAATGGGAGGAGGGGAGGAAGTGTAAATTTTTTAATGGAAAAATTAAAAAAAGAAAATTAAAAAGAAAAGAAAAGAAAACTCCACCAACAAATAAGGTGCTGACCGTTCTCCAAACAGGTAAATCAAACAGGGTCAAGAGGCACACATTTCCCTTCCCTGTGAGTGCGAGGAAGATATGTGTTGTCAGTAAGTAGAGCCAAATGCATGTTTTAGAATCCAGTAATGAACGCTAGGCATGGTCATTAATGCATCTTTTCTTGTGTTTGCCTATAGGGATGGCAGACAGCTGTTGCCGTTTAGGAAAGCGGCACCTTGTTCAAAGGAAGAACAAGTTCCCACGTGCACTGCCCCATACCCTCAGGATGTGCACTACCCCATACCCTCAGGATGTGCA